CCCTTTAGCGGGACATCCGAGCATTTGAGCCGTCAGAGCCCCCCGACCCCGAAAACCAGCCCTATAGAGGGACGTCTGAGCATTTGAGCCGTCAGAGCCCCCCGACCCCGAAAATCGGCCCTATAGAGGGACGTCTGAGCATTTGAGCCGTCAGAGCCCCCCGACCCCGAAAACCAGCCCTATAGAGGGACGTCTGAGCATTTGAGCCGTCAGAGCCCCCCGACCCCGAAAATCGGCCCTATAGAGGGACGTCTGAGCATTTGAGCCGTCAGAGCCCCCCGACCCCGAAAACCAGCCCTATAGAGGGACGTCCGAGCATTTTAGCCGTCAGAGCCCCCTGACCCCGAAAACCAGCCCCTCAGCGGGACGTCCGAGCATTTGAGCCGTCAGAGCCCCCCAAGACCCCGAAAACCAGCCCTATAGAGGGACGTCCGAGCATTTGAGCCGTCAGAGCCCCCCAAGACCCCGAAAACCAGCCCCTCAGTGGGACGTCCGAGCATTTGAGCCATCAGAGCCCCCCAAGACCCCAAAAACCAGCCCCTTAGCGGGACGTCCGAGCATTTCAGCCGTCAGAGCCCCCCCGACCCCGAAAACCAGCCCCTTAGTTGGATGTCTGAGCATTTGAGCCGTCAGAGCCCCCCAAGACCCCGAAAACCGGCCCCTCAGTGGGACATCCAAGCATTTGAGCCGTCAGAGCCCCCCAAGACCCTGAAAACCAGCCCTATAGAGGGACGTCCGAGCATTTGAGCCGTCAGAGCCCCCCAAGACCCCAAAAACCAGCCCCTCAGCGGGATGTCCGAGCATTTGAGCCGTCGAGCCCCCCAAGACCCCGAAATCCAGCCCTTTAGGGGGACGTCCGAGCATTTGAGCCGTCAGAGCCCCCCGACCCCAAAAATCAGCCCCTTAGCAGGACGTCTGAGCATTTCAGCCGTCAAAGCCCGACCCCGGCAACTGGCCCTAGCGACGGTTGGCATGGTTACGCGGCGCCAAGTCTGCACCACGACGACCCGTCGTCGCGTGTGGTCGTCAAGGGGCGGGACCGTCGCCGGGCGGCGAGAGCTCTGGGGCTCGACTGGACGGGAGAGGCCGGTTCCAGAAGGTTCTAAAGGGGAAACAGAGTCGCGAGACCGCTGCTCGGGACGGGGAGCCGGGGTAGCCACGGCCACACGAGAGGCCCAAGGAGTGGAGGCCACGGGGCGGCAGGGACTGGAGGATCTCGCTGCGCCGGGCCACCGAGAAGACAGCATCCCCGAGGGGCGGACGTTCAACCGGGCCTGAGGAATGCAGGCCGGGCGCGGAGGCTCACGCCTGTCAGCCCAGCTCTCTGGGAGGCCGAGGAGGGAGGATCGTGCTTGAGGTCGGGAGTTGGAGGCCAGCCTGAGCAAGAGCGAGACCCCGTCTCTACTATAAATAGAAAGAAATTAATTGGCCAACTGATATATATAGAAATTGGCCAACTAAAGATACATAGAAGAAAAAATGAGCCGGGCGTGGTGGCGCATGCCTGTAGTCCCAGCTACTCGGGAGGGGAGGCCGAGGCGGGAGGATCGCTCGAGGCCGGGAGTTGGAGGCCAGCCTGAGCAAGAGCGAGACCCCGTCTCTACTAGAGAAAAAAACAAAAATAGAAAGAAATGAGCTGTACAGCTAAAAGTATATAGAAAAAAATTAGCTGGGCCTGGGGGCTCGCGCCTGTCATCCCAGCTCTCTGGGAGGCCGAGGCAGGAGGATCGCTCAAGGTCGGGAGTTGGAGGCCAGCCTGAGCAAGAGGGAGAACCCGTCTCTACTGAAAAAAATGGAAAGAAATTTATTGGTCGGCTGAAAATAGATACAAAGAAAAAAAAACGAGCCGGGCGTGGTGGCGCATGCCTGGAGTCCCAGCTACTCAGGAGGGAGGCCGAGGCAGGAGGATCCCTGGAGGCCAGGAGTCGGAGGCTGCTGTGAGCGAGGCTGACGCCACGGCACTCACTCTAGCCCGGGCGACAAAAGTGAGACTCTGTCTCAAAAAAAATAAAATAAAATAAAAAATAAAACTCTTGTCATGTGCTCGTTCTTTTTGTTTTAGAGACAGAGTCTCGCTCTGTCGCCCGGGCTAGAGTGAGTGCCGTGGCGTCAGCCTCGCTCACAGCGGCCTCCGACTCCTGGCCTCCAGTGAGCCTCCTGCCTCAGCCTCCTCCCGAGTAGCTGGGACTCCAGGCATGCGCCACCACGCCCGGCTCATTTTTTCTTCTATATATCTTTAGTTGGCCAATTAATTTCTTTCTTTTTTTTTTTATTAGAGACGGGGTCTCGCTCTTGCTCATTCTGGCCTCCAACTCCCGGCCTCGAGCGATCCTCCCTCCTCGGCCTCCCAGAGTGCCGGGATGACAGGCGTGAGCCTCCACGCCCGGCTAATTTTTTCTCTCTCTATATATATATATTTTTAGTTGTCCAGCTAATTTCTTTGTATTTTCGTAATAGAGACAGGAGTCTCGCTCTTGGGCTCAGGCTGGCCTCCAACTCCCGACCTCGAGTACGATCCTCCCTCCCCGGCCTCCCAGGCTGCTACGATGACAGGCGAGAGCCTCCGCGCCCGGCCTACGTGCTAGCTCTCTGCGATGCTGGATTGTCAGACACTCAAGCAACGGAACGCGACGGGGAGGTCGATCTGGACGCTGAGAGCCGCAAAAGGCTCCACCTGCCGACCTTAACCCCTGGCCTCTACTTTTTTTGTTCGCTGATTGACTTCGTGATGGGCAAATGCTTTCAGTCTGAACTCAGAAAACAAATCAGTATCGACGAGAGATCGGCTTCACTTCGGTCTTCACGTTGCAATTCCAGGAAATGCCCAGCGACCCTCCCCAGAGGGGGGCCAGGGCGGGGGAGAAAGGACCAGCCGGGAGGGGGGGACCAAGCAGCCCCCCAAAGCCTCCCCAGGGCCAGGGCCTTGTGTGGGGGTCAAAGGGCGGCCGGTGCAGCCGATCCCAGGGCTGAGGAACTAGTTCCAGCACTCTGGGAGGCCGAGGAGGGAGGCTCGCTCGAGGCCGGGAGTTGGAGGCCAGCCCGAGCAAGAGCGAGACCCACGTCTCTGCTAATAAAAATAGAAAGAAATGAGCTGGACGACTAAAAATATATAGGAAAAATTAATGAGCCGGGCGTGGTGGAGTCCCAGCTACTCGGGGTGGAGGCTGAGACGGGAGGCTCGCTGGAGGCCAGGAGTTGGAGGCTGCTGTGAGCGAGGCTGACGCCCCCGGACACTCTCTCCCGGGCTACAGAGAGAGACTCTGTTCCCCTCCCCCCCCCAAGAAAAAATAATAATAATAATAAAAATAAAAAACCGACTCCCCCAGGAAGCCCTCCTGGATTGCCCCAGCGCGCCAGACCACCGCCCGCTCTCCCGCCTCCGCCCGTCTGCGCAGGCGCACGCGCGCAGTCCCGGCATGCCCCGCGCGCCAGCCGCCGCCATGTCGCTGCGCGCGCACCCTCTTCCCGGCAGGCCCCGCGCGCCGGAAGCCGCCACGTTGCTGCGCGCGCACCCCCTTCCCGGCAGGCCCCGCGCGCCGGCCGCCGCCATGTTGCTGCGCGCGCACCCGCCCTCTTCCCGGCAGGCCCCCGCGCCGCTACCTTGTTGCGCGCGCACCCTCTGCCAAAGAGATGGCCGCGCTGGGCGCGCGGCGGGCGGGCCGGAAGTGCGGCGGCGCACGGACCGCTTCGCTCCGGCCACGCTCGCCGCGCGGCTCCGCCGCGCACAGCTCGCGGCACGGGCGCGCACGCAGCAAATGCGCGGCGCGAGCCTGCCGGAAA